GCAGTTTTGTTTGATATAAACATAATTTCTAGGAGACAGACATGAACACCGACCTTAAAATGCTGATATGCTGATCAAGTTGGCAGTTGGTAATTTACATATCCAACAGACCTGGATTCATGTTTCCATCTACGCAACACATATAAGTTCAGGGTCCTTTTTTCTCGCTTTGTTTTGGTCGTCACTAAAACGCGAGCTGCTAAAAGCTCCACTGTGTCCTCAGTTAGTTGTTAACTTTGTCTGCCTGTTGTATGGTGCTGGGCTCGTAGTGTACGGTGGGTTTATCAGAGGTTTTTTTTTTTACTGAAAACAGCTGTGTGATATACAATAAAGAACAATAAAGCTGCAGACCCTGAAACCAAAAGAAGAAGCTGAAACGAGTTAAGAGTAACGGCATAATTCATTTTTCCCTGGAAGAAAAATACAGGTTTCTTCTTCACTGTGAACTGTCCACTTCATTACACCCTTGTGATAAAAGGGGAAACAAGTGTTTCGCAGGTGGAGAACAAACATCATCATGTTACCTCTCGTGTATGTAAGAAAAGTAAAGACACAAAACCAGTTAGTGAAGCAGCAGACGAGATGATTGGCTTAAAAACCTTGGCTGTGTAACAATAAATCAGTGCTTACATCACATTTTCAAGTTTCTTATTTCAGAAATCAGTGAACTGGTGTGCTACTCGTGATTGTACTGCATTCAATTTATCTCACTAATTGTCAGCTTACCACTCATCATTACAATAATCAATCATAACACAATAAATAACCACGGACCATTTAAAAAGATACAGTTGGCTCAGCACAGCAGGAAAGAACAACTCATTCCTTCTTAACTGAGATGATGTAAATTTGATATTTGCCTCAGGGACATTTCTGGTGTCAAGTATCAGTCTGGTATTTAGGGACCGGAGTCAATGTTTCATCTACAGTAAGTTGGGCATTGGGGCAGCCTCTGGCAAAGGGTAAACAAGGCAAGCACCTGAAGGCACCTCTCTTTCCTGGGGGCCCTCAACAGATCAGGCTTTTCTTTGCAAATTAGGAATATAATGGATTTTTTTTTTTTTTTAAACACATTTTAGCATTCAAATTATTGTGTGGTTAAAATGTGAAGGGACGTCCAAAACAGAATCTCACTCTGAGCCATTAAAGGACTAAGGTTGGCCATGTTGGGTATGATCACATCCCTGACTTTCAGTTCATTTCACTTTCTTGCTTCCTTTGTGAAAACTGGTGGCGAAACAGCCATTATGATAGTTTTTAATAGCAGGGAATATGAAGCACAGCTAGCCTTGTCATAAGCTGGACACACAGTAGACAGCATATTATTTCCTAGATGAAAAATGTGACAATGATCTCATCTCAACTGCAACAACTGTCATATCAGCAGAACAGTGCAACTTTCAAGGCCACTGACCATCATAGCGACATTCATCAAAGGCCTGAGAGAGTTCAGCCTCTGCATTTCTCCAGTTCAGGCTCGCTGCCACAGGGATGAAAGAAAATCATTCACCAACTTCCCAGCCACCCAACCGTGTGTTCCTAACGTTCATGAGCGCTCATGTGAAGAGAGCCTGAGTCCCAGGATCCTCGTGGGTGTGCGTGAATCAACACTTTTCATAAAATAGGCCGACGTAAATTAGCATTTTGGAGGCAGCCTTTTAGCAAAAGCGCAGACCAAAGGAAATCCAACGGTGCCTCTACTTAAATTATAGCCCCGAATAAAATGAAATAAATTTTTTAAAAGATATTGGAGGTCATCATTGAGCTGGATGACCCCCATGGTGGTCGCTGACATCATTATAGTATGTCTCTGACATCACAAAGTCTGGACAGGCCTCATAAAGAACAGTTGATGGCTGAAACACTTTCACACCTCAATAAATGTAATTCTTCTCTGTAAGGTATTGTCACGCTACAGTAGAGACCATAAATTCTTGATTAAAAGGTTAAAGGTTTTATATCATTATTTACAATAATTTTGTTCCAAATGGAGGCTACTACAGCTCCAATTAAGAAAATGTTGCTGATGATCAACTGCAGTCTGAACAAAGGAGTGTTTATCAAATGGAAACTCCTCCTTGACCCTGATTGGTCAGAAATACCAGCTCCTATTTGAAGCAAAAGATTGCATTTAAGCTCTCCTGATTGGAAGAACAGGTTCTGATCAGATCAGCAAAATTCTGTGGCAAAATCAATTGAAATCACCACAATTGTGAACAAACAGGACTATGTAAATCCATTTATATCTCCATGAGGAATTCAAGTTTGTTATACTCTGATGCAAATTTGCACCACTGACCAATTGCAACTTGCCTTAACAGCGCTGATCATTGAAGATAACACAGTGAAAGCCTACTTCTTCCTGTTAGCAATTGAGCTAACAGACTTGCTAATTGACCGTTAGCAAGTTAGTTTTTCCCCCCCATTCAATAACTCTGTTGCACAATGATGCACAATCCTGACAACTAAATGCTACAGACAGAAACAGCTCAGGGAAACATAAAGAAGCTCAGACAGCACTGCATGTTCTCAACTTGCTACTATGTTAACCCCTTTGCTCTCCAGCTGCTAGTGGAAGCAGCAGCACATTAGACTTCACTGGCACATAACACATCGGCACATGAACCCCAACAGGGATCCTGTAGTGTTGTCTGGTGCATAATTTGATATGGCCACTTTAAAAATAAAAGTGCAACTCTCTCTCCAACCACTCCTACAATACTGCACAAACAAACACACACACACACAAAAAAAAAAAGAAAAAAAGATGGTGCTCTACAGTCAGCGTGTGTCTCAACTTCCTTCCTCTCAGAAAAAGTCATGATGCCACAACAACAGTCGCACGCGGGAAATCAAATGCAGCTGTTTGGGAGGCCAAGAATGACAGAGCAGACCGGAGGGCAAAGAGAGAGATGTTGCGTACCCGGCGCTCCAGAACTACCTGTACAACGTGCTGGAGAGACCGAGAGCCTGGGCGTTCATCTACCATGCGTTTGTGTAAGTTCATCTTCATAACTTGTGAATATCTAAAGTTGCACACCTGTTGATGCTGGTCCACCTCACCGCAGAGCACCTCTCACAACTGACAGCCTAAAACACAAATACAGAACGATCCTACTACTACTTTAGTTAACCTAGTGTGAACAGACTATCGTCCTTGCTGATTGAGCCTCACATATTCTCACACATCACATTGTCACTTCTTGGACACGATGGTTGACACACATGTGACTCGTGTGAGTGTCATGAACGCACACTCATCTTTTAAAAATACACCACAGCACGAGCACCTCTTTTACCAGAGCCATGTTCACAGCTTAGTGGCTGTTGAATGAACCCACCGCAATCATGTCCAGGTTTCTGACACAAAGAGAGGCTTCCAGCACTGTCCCTCTTGATAACTGCAGCAGTCTTTAATGTGAGGTTTAACACGCTCAGCTCCTGGGGTTAGTGCAGTTGCAGCTTCGCCAAAACATGGCTATGTAGTGGTAAATATCACAGACTGGTGTTTTTCATTGACTTCTGCATTTATGAGGGCCTCAGTAAGTTTCACATATGTACTGTTGAAACCAGATCCCAGGCTCTGTTGGTTCCTGAAGGTCCGTACTCAGGAACATCTTTTACCCTACCGT